CACCCCTCACACTGAGGAATCTGCATTCTAATTCTGGGCACTTAACATTCTCAAGTTTAATTCCACCAGACTTGGCAGCCAGGCCTTCATCTGGTATCCCTATCCCTCCCCCACCCACCCCTAAAGCATCTCCCTCTCCGTACAACTAATTCACCCAACTCAGTGACCAAGCTCTCAGCAAACTGCTCCAATATCATCTCTACACAGCTCAGGGGAAGATTATGTTTGAAGCATTTCTGCAAAATTTAATTCCTGAAACAGACTTTTGGTGCTTTACTATGTTAAGGATGCCATATAAATGCAGTTGATTTTTGAAGCCTACGCTATCTAACCCATTTCATCATTTTAAAGACCCTTGGGAGAGGGGGTAGGTATCCTTGTGGGGAGCGGTAAGAGGAAGTTATAAGTAAAGGTGCTCATCGAATTTTAAGATTTAATTAGTCATGAAGAACAGCAGGACTTGCATTTCTCTAGCGAATTCAGGAGAACGGCACATTCCAAAACGTTGCACAGCCAATGAAGTACCTGTGAAGTGTAGCCACTGCTTGTGACGTAGGAAGTACAACAGTGAACATGCACAGCAAGATCCCACAAACAGCAACCAGATAGCTTACTGATGGTAGACTGAAAAACAAGCGTTAGACAGGACAAGGTGGAGAATTCCCCAGCTCCTGTTCAAAACAAGCAGAGGCCCACAAAACATTTACAGTGAATCCAACAACTTCCTTGCAACAGCAATTCTTTAAATCCCCATCCCATGACACCTCCCATCTCCATACTGAACACACCCTCCCTGCAATCCCAGCACTGGCACATAAAGTAGTTCAGTGACATTTCATGGAGAAACTATACTTAGGGTTTGTTTGGGTTTGTGCACTCTTGATTTCAGTCTAAATGTTGGGTATGTGGTACCACACCTGACTGTACCCCTGGGAAGTGACGAAGAGAAGAGGTAGGAAGGGGCAAAAAGAAAATAGGAACAAGAGTAGGCCATTTAGCCCATCAAGCCTGCCTGACATTCAATACTATCATGGCTGACTGAACACTAATTTTTTTTTTATCCACCCCATCCCCATACCCATAATCCTGTACACCGCTGGGGATCAGAAATCTATTAATCTCTACCTTAACATATTCAAAGACTGAGCTTCCACAGCGATCTGTGGTTTAGAATTCAGGAAGGTTCACAACCCTCTGAGCAAATAAAAATTCCTACTTTCAAACCCAAGTGGCTTCCCCGTTATTTTTAAATTGTGCCCCTGGCTGTGGATTCCCCAACCAGGGAAACTCTCAGCTGCATCCTTCCTGTCTATCCCTTTAAATATTTTGTACATTTCAATAAGATCATCTCTCATTCTTCAAAACTCTAGAGAATCCAGGCCTCGTTTGCCCCAGTCTCTCTCTCGAGCACAGTTCTACCCAGGAACCAGTCAGGCAAATCTTTATTCTATTCTCTCTATGGCATAATATCTTTCCTGTGATAAAGAGACCAAAACTGCACACAGTACTCCAGGCGCAGCTTCTATATAAATGAAGTAAGACTTTCCTGCTCCTGTACTCAGATCCTCTTGTGATAAAGGCTAACATTCCATTAGCCTTCCTGATAGCTCGCTGCACCTGTGTGTTAGCCTTCAGTCACTTAGCAACAAGGACACCCTTTGTACATTTTGCAACCTCTCACCATTTAAGAAATACTTTATGCATCTGCACCTCCTACCAAAGTGGATAGCCTCACAGCTTACCACATTACATTGCATCTGCATTGTTCTTGCCCAAATCTTCCTGAAGCCTCTCCACATCTTCCACACAACAGATTCCCACTTAGCTTTGTATCATCACTGAAAGAGCGAGGGAGGGCTGACACTAGAGATTCTAAATCAGAAGCAGGTGAAACTTTAGTGAGAATAGGAAGGGGTGAGAACCAGACACTGACAGGGGAAGCTGTAACAGAGCAATGACTGAGCTTTAAGGAGGTGACAGTTCAGAGAGGACGAAAAGGAAGAGAACCAATGGCAACGATCATTGGTGAAGAGATTATCAGCAAAAGGAGGCTGTATCATGCATTTATGGAGGAATCATCAGAAATTTGATCAAACATGAACAGTTTCTTCATTTCTCTTACAGAAGCTGCCTGGCCTTCGGCATTTCCTGCATTGTTTCAGATTTCCAGCATTTGTAGTATTCTTTGAGATAAATATAACACACAAGATTAACCATGGGTTTGTTAAAAGAAATAAGCATTTTCTACTTTCTTAACAGAACATCAGATAGACTGACAGATCTATGTGAATTCTCAGTTCTCCAACACATATTCACTGTTATTAAACATGGAAACCACAAGGATTTATGACAAACACACCAGAGCAAAAGTTCATGCTTACTCCAGTTGTAGCAAATGCTGTTAACATTTTTATTTTGCCAGAACCACAGAAGCGTTCTGGCATGTTTCAGCAAACAAAGGAGCTTGTAACAGATCAGTAATACCAGGATGACAAAAGCCAAATGATGGGAAAGAGCCTGAAACCTCCTCAATAATCAAACAGCTTCAGCACAGTAATGCACGTACTCAGAGGGACTAGGAAGATCATGAACATAAACTACAACAGCAAATCCCACTGTTTGTAAACTCCCAAATCTCTAGATTGACTCAGCTTGAAACACAGCTCCTATCAGTTTAATTTAACTTGCAGGGGTATAATCCACCTATTGTAGGATGGAGATTGAGTTCTAACAAATCTTGGTATTCCTTGCCAAGTAAGATTTTACTTAAGGTTACAAAACTGACCACATGACAGGACAGGGCAAAAATTGAATCTATCCCAAAGACAATTTAGCTTAATATACACAATCATTAACAGGAGGAGGTCATTTAGCTCCACGAGCCTTCTCCACCACTAAGAAAGACCCTAGGTGAGCAGTCACCCAACATCAACATTAATGCTTCAGCTACTCAGTGGCAGCTAACATTCAAACCACATAAGTGTCAATGACCATCATCAACAAGTGAGCATTAAAACATCTCCCTTTGACACCCAATGGCATTACCATCACTGAATCTGCCCCATTATCAACAAACTGGGGTGGGAGGGGCAGAGGGTTACCATTGACCACAAACTCCACTAGACTATACACATTAACACAGTAGCTACACAGCAGGTCACAGGCTAAAGAATCCTGCAGCAAGTAACTCACCTGCTGACTCCCCAAAACCTGTCCCACCATCTACAAGGCACAAGTCAGGAGTGTGATGGAATACTCCCCACTTGCCTGGATGGGTGCAGCTCCAACAACACTCAAGAAGCTTGACACCATCCAGGACAAAGCAGCCCGCTTGATTGGCACCACATCCACAAACATCCCACTCCCTCCACCACCGACACTCAGTTGCAGCAGTGTGTACTATCTACAAGATGCACTGCAGAAACTCAAAGATCCTTAGACAGCACCTTTCAAACCCACAACCACATCTAGAAGGTCAAGGGCAGGAGATACATGGGGACAAGATCATATACAAGTTCCCCTCCAAGTCACTCTCCATCCTGACTTGAAAATATATCACTTTTTCTTCACTGTTGCTGGGTCAAAATCCTGGGATTTCCTCCCCAAGAGCATTGTGGGTATCCTTGCATCTAATGGACAATAGTTCAGGGCAGCAGCTCATCACCACGTTCAGGCCAGCCAGCCTGTGACGCCAACATCCCTGGATGAATAAAAACATGTCGAAGCTCCCTGTTGGAAACACCCTGCTTCCAATCAATTGGAAGAACTGCTAATTCACCTGCATGAAACTCAAAACCATCCCAGGCAGGCTCATAACTGGATGACCATGCTGCAAATCTATTTACATAAACACAGACTGAGAGAATTCAAATAAAAACAGAATACCGCAGATGCTGGAAATCTCAAATAAAAACACAAAGTGTTAGAGAAACTCAGCAGCTCTGGCAGCCTCTGTACTGAAAGAAATAGTCAACTTTGAATCCAATGAATTCTTCAGAACCATGTGGAAGTATTCTAAAGAAAAGTAACATCAGACTCAAAATTTACCTTATTTTCCTGACCAAAGATGCAGCGGGACCTGCTGATTATCACCAGCTTTTTTTTCTTTTTATTTGACAAAATTCATAATCAGCTGAACTACTGAAAAGTTACCGCAGCATCAAAATTAATCACTGAGCAACCACAACTTATTCCAGTTCATCAGATGGAAACAAACTGAGGTCTGACATTCACTGCCCTCAGACAGACCACTGACACATGAACTCTTACAGACAACAATTTCGGGAAAACCAGACCCTGCAGCTAAAACCAATCCAAACCATGCCCTAGTGAGACAGTGTGTGTGTGTGTGTGTGCGCACGTGTGAGAGAGAGAGAGAGTGAGTGAGTAAGTGAGTATGAGAGAGAGAGAGAGAGAGAGTGTGTGTGTGTGTGAGACAGAGTATGTGTGAGAGAGAGAGTGTGTGTGTGTGTGTGTGTGAGAGAGAGAGACAGAGTATGTGTGTGTGAGAGAGAGTGTATGAGAGAGAATGTGTGTGTGTTTGTGAGTGTGAGAGAGGGAAAGAGAGAGAGACACAGAGTATGTGTGTATGTGAGAGAGAGTGTGTGTGTGAGAGAGAGAGACACAGAGTATGTGTGTATGAGAGAGAGAGTGTGTGTGTGAGAGAGAGAGAGAATGTGTGTGTTTGTGAGTGTGAGAGGGAAAGAGAGAGAGACACAGAGTATGTGTGTATGAGAGAGAGAGAGTGTGTGTGTGAGAGAGAGAGAGAGAGAATGTGTGTGTGTGTGAGTGTGAGAGAGGGAGAGCGAGCGTGAGAGAGACACACAGAGTGTCAGGGAGAGAGAGTGTGTCCTCGTACCCCAGTGGGAGTCTGTGTGTGTGTGCGTCGGGGGTGGGGGTGGTGATCATCTGGGAGGTGTGGGCCGGGTCAGGAGGAGGGTGGGGAGGTGCTGGGGGTCTCCCCCCCCCCGGATCGCGGACTCCCTCCCTCCGGCCCTTACCTGGGACCGCAGCGGCGGCTACGACTCCCGCTCCCCGAGCCCGGGCGGTGCCGAGCGGCGCAAAACAAGTGACGGCAGCGGGAACCCGCTCCGCCCCTTGGCCCGCCCCGGACCGTCCCAGCCAACCTGGCAATGCCCCACTCTGCCCAGGGTCCAGCCCTGTCCCCTACCTCACTCTGCACCGTGCCCAGGGTCCAGCCCTGTCCCCTACCCCACTCTGACCCGTGCCCACTGCCCACGGTCCAGCCCTGTCCCCTACCCCATTCTGCCCCATGCCCAGGGTCCAGCCTTGCCCCCTACCCCAATCTGCCCACTGCCCAGGTTCCAGCCTTGCCCTCCCCTCTACCCCATGCCCACAGCCCACTCCCTGGTGATCAGCCCAGTGCCCACTGCCCACTGCCCTACTCTCCCCACTACTCAGGGATCTGCCCACTGCCACTGCTGCCCTCTAGACTGGACCTGGGGAACTGGCCAGTGCCCAGTGCCCCCATCTGGCTGGTTTTGCCTGGTCCACCCTGCCTAGAGCTCATTCTTGCTCATACTATTCTGCTTCAAATCTATCTCACTACACTATCTTTGTTCGATTAACTGGGAGCAGGTCTGTTCATAGGAGTAGGAAAGTAGGCAAAGGGTCCTGACCCGAAACATCAACTTTCCTGCTCATCTGATGCTGCCTGGCCTGCTGTATTCCTCCAGCTCCACACATGCCTCTGACTCCAGCGTCTGCAGTTCTTGCTATCTCCACAGGTCTGTTCATACCTTGTCATTTTACATATTAATAATAAACGTTAGTTCCTAAAGTCCCACGGCCATCTTTCACAGCAGTGTTAAAAATGAAGCTGAAAACCATATTTAATTAGAAAACTTCAGCTGAAGTTGCCTTCCAGATTTTGATCCACATCATCTATTCCATCACTGGTTCTAGTCATCATTGCTACTGGAGCACCCAGACCCATCATACACAGCTTAGCGGTAGACAAGATTTATCCCAATAGCAGCAGATGCTGAAACAACCACCATAATCAAAGAATATTAACATTCTTCCCACAGCCCAAACTGTGCTCCCATACCCAGAGTCTAAAAATGTACACCCAAAACCACCACCTATACTCTCTCAATTTAAATCCAGCATCAAGCACCCTGTGTAATTCCCAAACTAAAAAGTTGTCTAAAGTTTAAGTTGTCTAAAGTTTTTTTGCCCTTATTTTTTTTTCCCCCCAAACTTGAGCAATACTTTAGAAGTTACCACATACATAGCTGATTAGGTTAGTTACCATCTTCCTTAATCCTTTCTCCACAGCTATTCACTCAAAGTATCCTACAAACCTTAATGCTAAAAAGATCACTTATAGCAATCCTCAATTCAACCTCATTGGAGTTAGCAAATGCTTTGTCAGTTTAGTCAAGATTAAATAAGTAACTCCCTAAATGGTTCTAAGTTCAATTAAGTGGGGGCCTTCTTGCCATTTAAGAGGTAGTATCCGTACCCTTGGGCCAGGAGACCTAGGGTCAAATCACACCTGCTTTGGAGAGGGTACAGAAAAGGTTAACCAGAACATAGTTAAAATCCTCTATACCAGGCAATGAAGAAAGGTTGGATAAACTCAGATAGTAAGAACTGCCAATGCTGGAGTCAGAAATAAGAGTATGGAGCTAGAGGAATACAGCAGGCCGGGCAGCAGGAAAGCTGATATTTCAGGTCAGGACCCTTCTTCAGAAAATAGACTGAGCTGGTTTTCACTGAAATGCAGGAGGCTGAGGAGTGGCCTAGTAGAAGTTTAAGGTTGTGAATGGCATGGGTAGAGTTGAAAGTATGAGGCTCCTTGTTCTTCCACCACACCCCCTCCTCCCCCCAGGATGGAGGGGTCAATTACTAGGGGACATAGGTTCAAAGTGCAAGAGGTAAATTTAAAAAGAGATGTGAGAGGCAAGTTTTTCCATGAAGTGTGTGGAGTGCCTGGAATGTATTGCCAGAGGTGGTAGTGGAAGCAGATAGTAGCAGCTGGACAAATACATGAATAGGAAGCAAATAGAGGGATATGGATCCTGTAAGTGAGGATAGTTTTAGGATGGAAGGGCAAAATGTTAGCATAGGCTTGGAGGGCCAAAGGGCCTGATCCTGCACTGTATTTTTCTTTGTTCTTGTTCCAGAAGTGTATAATAAACTATTTTCCCCTCTAACCTGTTCAGGGGTGTTAAGTTCAGTGATTAAAGAGAACAGCTAAGGGAATGGTCTGAGATAGGTGCTAGGGCATAGAGTCAGATCTACAGCAAAAAGCCTTTCACCCTATTGAGTCAGCCCTAGTCTGGGAAAATAGCTGAACTGGGATAGTTAGGTACAAAAAGCAGGACTGATAAACAGCTCAGTCCTGTGAAGTAAACCAAACTATTGCAGATGCTGGAGACCCGAGACAAGAACAAAATGCTGAGGACATTCAGTAGCTCTAGTAGGATCCACAGAGAGAAACAGCCTAAACATTGAGACCAGTATGATTTTTTTCTCAAGAGGTTTCTTTGCACAGATTGTGCTGAACCTACCAAGTTTCTCCAGAACTCATTTCAGTCTCATCTAGGTCTAAGCAGCCATAGCAGTGAGAAAATTCTCCAGCTGACCAGGCACTAAAATCACTGATGATTGTCCAGAGTATTTGGTGTTGACAACTTTAAAAAATGGATAATGAACCTTTAGAAGTGGTGTAGTGGCAATGTCGTTAATGTAGAGTTCTGGACAACAAGTTCAGTGTTCTGGGGGGCAGATTCAAATCCTACCATGTCAGGTGGTGAAATTTTAATCCAGTAAAAATCTGGAATTAAGAGTCTAGTCATGACTGAGAATATTAGAGCCCTTAATATTATCTGGATCTCTGTATTTATAGCCTAACAATAGTACTAATAGGCCACTATCTCCCCATGAATCCAAACAAATCTTCATCTGCAATGTAGATCCTGAAACTCAGGCTCTCTATCCATACACAAGCAAAAGGGGTAGTCTGGTACAGTCCTTTCACATTGGTAGCCTGTAATAACTAGTGTACAGTTAGCTGGTCAGATCCATAGGGACTTTATTTACAAAAACAAATACATTCAAACATAACTGAATTTGTTCCCTCGAGTAGGAACAGTTTAAGCACATTCAAGGTCACAAGATACAGATCAAAAATCCAGGAATGTCTAAGACAAGCCTGAGGCAGTGTTTGGTTCAGTATTGAGAATCCTCCAGGTGAGCACCACTTTGATTTTTATATTTAAAGAGAGTATTCAGAGAGATTAAAGTTTCACAATTCAGAAGATAAAGTTTCTTGTTTTTAAAAACCAACGCTTAAGATTTGAATACATCTTGTTCAAACATGGTGTCATCAGCCCTGGGCAGAGGGTACATCAAGGGAGGGTTTTAGTGATATTGATCAAACTAAACAGAACCACTAGGAAAATGCAACTAAAACCAGCAATTAAGAAAATGACATTTCTAGAATGGCGTTGATTGAAAAGTGATCTCAACTTGGAGTTTAATCATCCCATTCATCATCATCTTCAAAATCATCTGGAGAGAAACACATCATCAATATCACATTTTCCTCTACACAGCTACCTTCCCCAAAACTCATTCCATTCCATCCCCACTGTCTGCATCAAGTAGGACAAGAACCAGATAATGGGGAGGCGCTGGCCTAGTGGTATTAATCACTGGACTGTTAATCCAGAGACCCAGATAACATTCTGGGGTCCTGGTTTGAAGCTTGCCATGGCAGTTGGTGGAATTCCAGGGATTTATTGAATTTGAATTGGGAATCTAATGATGACTGTGAATCCATTGTCAATTGTCTGAAAAACCCATCCAGTTCATTAATGTCCTTTAGGGATGGAAACTGCCATCCTTATCTGATCTGGCCTACATATGGCTCCAGATCCACAGCAATGTGGTTGACTCAATTGCTGTCTGGGAAATTAGGGATGGGCAATAAATACTGCCTAGCCAGTGACACCCTCATCTTGTTAATGAATAAGAAATGTTGATAGACCATTAATTCCACACCATCCTAAAGTACATCACTGTCTCTGGGTTGAAATCCTGTATTTTCCAAATAACACTGTGGAACTCTACAGCAGCTCACTATCACTTCTCCAGGGCATTTATTGTCAAGAATTTGTTCCCCATCCTGGTCAGTGATACTCTTACTGTTTTTCTCACCCCTACCTTCCACCACCATGGCCCCAAAACAAAAAAGAAAAAAAAAACTGCCATCCAAAGGATGAGTGGTTCCCTTGCTAGCCACACACTGTCTCTAGGTTACTACACAAAGGAAAAACTCAAGGCTCTCAGATTTGAAATCACCTGCTCAAGACAGGAATAAAAAGGGATGTTGCCTATCACAAGGATATTACCATTTCCTTCAATTTCCTTGAAAGGAAGAGGAGAAATATTACTGCCACACACAGATAGTTCATTAAAACTGAATCACTCAAATTGAATTACTGCATTACTTTTAACCAGACATCAGGAGGTTCAATATTCAGCAATGTTGCTTCAAACAGGGTAAACAGTTTTGATGGTGCTCACTATCACACCTCCTTTAACCCCATTAGTCCATCTCCTGGGGACAGCCTATTGTTGTTAGGACAGGGATTGATGGAACAAAGCTGTCTGAATGAAGTTTCAGAATGTTTAATAGTTTGAGGAGTGGGTGTGGCTGCTAGCAGCATAGACTGAACATTGAAAATTGTGGCTCACTTGAAGAATGAATGACACGACTTCTGTTCTGCAAGACTTTCATAAGGGCACTCACAATCCCATCAGGCACAGCAGCAGGGATCGGTTTAGGATCCACACCAGTTACCTAGAAGACAGTTACCAAGTTCAGGTTATTCAACCATTCCTACATTTGAATAGTTATTGGTTCAAATTCTGCACAGACTAAATTCTGGCAGGATATTCAGACATCTCTAATCTCCTTCTTGATTAGAGGTTCCCACTTATTTCAAGACAGCCACCATCATCCCATCACAAAAAAAGGCAGCATGCCTTAGTGACTACCACCTGACATTATGGAATGTCATGAGGGGTTAGTCATGGGACACCAACTCCAGCCTCCCAGAATGCTTTGATCCACTACAATTCACCTGTCACAATAGGTCCATGGCAGATGCCATCTCCCTGGCCCTACATGTCCCTGAAACATCTGGATAACAAGTACACCTACATTCAACTCCTATTGATTGAAGGTGGAGCTAAACTCAACACCATAATTCCAAATAAACTCACCTCCAGACTCCGATCTAGGACACTGCTTCCCCTACCCCCACCACAATGGATCCTCAACTTTCTGGCCCACAAACCACAATCAGTAAAGATAGGCAACAACACTTCTACAATAATCCTCAACACCAATGCCCTGCAAGGCTGTATACTCACCCCCTTACTATACTCCTTATACATGACTGTAGGGCCAAATTCTGCTCTAGCTCCATTTACAAGTTTGCTATGACACTATTGTAGTGGGTCAGATCTTAAACACAATAAAGAGACAGTATAGGAGAGGGACAGAGCTTAGTAGTTATGGTGTAAAGACAACAATCTCTCCCTCAATGTCAGCAAGAGGAATGATCATTGACTTCAGGAAGTGGAGTGGAGGGCACACCCCTGTTGGTATCAATAGTGTGATGGAGATGGTTGTGTGTATCAAGTTCCTGGAGTAAATGTCACCAGGCTGTCCTGGTCCATCCATATTGATACTACAGTAGAAAGCATACCAATGCATCTACTTCCTCAAAGCTAAAGAAATGCAATGACTCTTACCAATTTTTATAGATGTACCATAGAAAACATTCTATACAGATGCATCACAGCTTGGTGTGGCAACTGCTGTGCCAAGACCACAAGAAATTACAGTTGTGAACACAACCCAGTCCATCACAAAACCAGCCTTCCATTGATTCCATCTATACTTCCTATTACTGTGGGAAAACAGCCAAAGACCCCTCCCACCCAGGATATATTCTGTTCCACCAGGCAGAAGACAAAAGTTTGAAAACATACCAGATTCAAAAATAGCTTCTTCCCCACTTAGACTTTTGAATGGACCTTTTATATTAGGAGTTGCTCTTTCTCTGCAGCTGTAACATCATCCTAAATTCTGGTCTATTACCCAGATTTACTTAAGGTATGATTTTCTTGTTAGTATGTAAAACTGTACTTTTACAATCAGCACATTGACAATAATCAAGTCAAATCAAAATTGACAAACTGTTTGAACTTGCTGGTTCTCATTTCCACATGGCGTTGAATTATTGATTACACTGGAGGTTGATCATTTGTTATGAAAAATCAGGTAGGTGATACACTGGGGGTGAAAGCTGTTGAGAAAAAGAGTGAACATTTATCCCAAATTCTAACTCCAACAGAAGGTACTGCTGTATTACAGCAGAGGACTTAGTCCAGGATCATCTTCTGAAATTCGAGAAATATTAGTCAGTCCACTCCTGGCCTTATCCCTCCCTACTGCTCAATATCAGTCTCCAAGTTAATCCCACTGCCCCAGCCTCTTCAGTAGCCCTGTATCAATCCCCAAACTAATCCTGCTATTCTGCCTGCTTCCCATACCCCAGTAACTAATGCTTTTAAATATTTATTCAATCTTCAGTATCACTTTCCTGTCTCACCCCTCCAATAACTTCAACTGTTTTGTAGCTCATAACTCTGTATATTCAAAGCAGAGTTACACAATGGCTTAGTTTCCATTCCACTCTTGGAAAAAGTTTCCAAAAATTAACAAGCTTCAGAAAGAGTTTCTCCTCATCTGTCAATGGTATTCTTGGATTTAAAATGTGTTACTGCTTCCTGCAGAAGTCAAAGTATTCTCTCAGCAACTATCCTGTCACTTTTGCTTCCATTTGAATTTTCAAGTCTAAAAAAGGAATCCTATTAGAAAATAGTTTATGAAACAGTTCCAGAAATGAACACTCCATACTTCAGCTACTCACTCACAATACACTTGTAGAAGCACTTGCAAGATTTTATGCTCATACTCTAATGAGCCCTCATTTCTCTTCTAGAAGAACTGTTGCAACATTATACTTTTCTTTCAGACTTTACTTCCATAAATTAGGAAAGAGCATCCACCTTGTAGCTTTCCACAAAATGGGAACCACCTTTGTTGCAAGTTGTAAAATTTCTGCTATTACTGTTGTACCATTTTCACTTAGATTCCCCAATCCACCATTGCCAACTGTCTTTGTACACCCCTTTTTTTCTTGGTAGTTATGTAGAAGGTGGTTCTGAGAAATACACCAGTTTCTGCAAAGAGAATACTTCTGGGGAAAGATGCTGTTTTCCAAGTCCATAGCTTGAGCACTTCACAGCGAGGCTCTGGGCAAATTGTCAAGTGTCCACCATAATGCTCTTTGTTCACCACCAAAACATTTCACTTCTCCTTACTCCTACTCTGCCTAATGGACAGAGTCCCAGAAAAATATCTCTATCAATTCCCAACACTGGGATCATTGAATTCAGCACAGATTAACTCATCTATCTCCCCAAAGCCATTCAAGACACAAGCCAGTAGCATGACTAATACTCCCCACTTGCCTGGATGAGTGCAGCTCTACCACCACAAGAAGCTTGACACAATCCATTACAAAATGCAGCCACTTGATTGGCACCACATCCACTCCCCCAACCACTGACACTCAGTAGCAGCAGTGTGTACCATCTACAGGATTCACTTCAGAAATTCTCCAAGGATCCTTAGACAACACCTTCCAAACCCACAACCACTTCCATCTAGAAAGACAAGGGCAGCAGATACATGGTAACACCACCCCCTGCAAGATCCTCTCCAAGCCACTCACCATCCTGACTTGGGAATATACCACTATTCCTTCACTGTCACTGGGTCAGAATCCCAGAATTCCCTCCCTAAGGGCTTTATAGGTCTGCCTACAGCACATGGACTGCAGCAGTTCACCATTACTTCAATGAGTAACTAGGCAATAAGTGCTGGCTCAGCCAACACAGGCCCATGAATTATATTAAAAACAAATCTAAATTTGGCAGACTTCCCAGCCCCAGACTTACTGGCTTTAAAACGCATCCTTGTCGGATCTGACTCAACAGCAGGTGCCAATCACTGGCAGCTCCCAGAGACTGCCCTGTTTCCACTGGATTCAGACGAGAGCTCTGTATGTTGTCCTCAGGCAGGCAATTGTTTGATGGAGGTGGCGAGAAAGGAAGTGATGCAGCACAGTGACATACAGGGGGTGGAGGGGGCAGGGCAACTGGGGCACAGAAAGAATAGGTGAGTGTTAATGCTGGGGTTAAAGGAGGGGAGCCTCCAACATCTTGACAGAGTTCAAGAGGAACACCAGACTGCTGTGGGGAGGGACCAAGTTCTCTGGATTTGCCAGAGGCTTGTTGGCTGCTTGTTTGAGCAGCTAGGACAAGAGGATCTGTTCCAGTCTTGGGAGGGGTCAACACACAGTTGGCTCTGGAAGTAGATGGTGAAGGAGCTGTAGAGGGATAGAGAGAGTCAGTACTGTCTGACACCCACACCCACACCCCCAATTGTCCACTCACTCTTACCACTTCCTCACCCATCCAAGACATTGGATTTGCCAAAAATCCACCCCATGATTTTTAACTTGCGAGACCTGCACCCTCCCTTCCTCACCCACCCCCCCACCAACCCTGTGAGCTACGTTGGGTTTGCAGCTGGGAGAAGAGGACTGACATCCCATTCTCAGTTCATGGGAAGCTTTTTTGGGGTAGAAAAGATAAAATTGGAACAGGTTCAGAAAAGCTTTAGCAGGATGTTGCTGGGACTGGAGTGTTCAAGTTAAGGACTGGCTGGGACATTTTTCACTGGAGCATAGGAGGTGACCTAGGGGTGACCTTCTAGAGCTTCAAAAATCATGAGGAGCAGAGATAAGGTGAGTAACAAAGAGGTCTTTTCCCTCGGGTGGGGAGTTCAAAATTAAGGGGCCAGATTTTTAAGGCGAGGAGAAAGATTCAAAAAAGGGACCCAAGGGGAAACTGGTTGGACAGAAGGGTCTGTTTCCTTCAAGTATGACTTGAATATCCCCAAATGAAGTGGGGAAGGTTGTATGGGGAGGAGTTGGGGAGAAAGCCTACAGTGATTAAACCAGGTCCCACTGGAATCCTTCACACATTTTCTATCCCATTCTCAGCCCAATTTGATACCAATCAAACCACACATGCACACACCCAACCCCATACCAAAGCCAGTACCTTTCAGTTTTGTTTCTTCACTCACAGGAAGGATTCCTTTCTCTTCAGGAACAGAAAGTATCCGCCTTGGGGTTTCCTCATCTTCAGGATGGGATTCACTCATTCCTGCCTCGCGGAACACCTCCAGACCTGGGCCAGACACCTTCACCACATGGAGCAATAGTGAGCATTCAACATACCACCACCCCAGCACTTCCCCCACCAGTACCTCTCCCATTCCATCCAACACAGTTTCATCCTGTGGGTGGGTGATCAAAAACCTACTCATTACCAACTGCTTCCCCAAACCAAACCCCACCCCTACACCTTCCAGCCACACCAACCCAGCAAGCACACTTCCCCTAACCCCTCTTCCACACCCATGCCATCCCCCACCTTTATCTCATCACATACCCCAGCCCCATTACCCTCCCCTTCCATGGCTGCCCCACTTCAAGCCTCCCATGTCCCATGATTGGCACCAACTTGGAGGTTTCAGGGGTGGGTGGGGTGGAGGGAGGTGTAGACTGTGCACTTACGTTGAATCCAGTCTCAGGGTTCCAAGCCACATGGCCAACATGCCTGAGCAGAAGGGCAGAAACAAATTAAATCAGCAGCAAAAACATGATAAACCTCAGCAGCTTGAGCACAAACCTAATTGCCCCACCACTACCCTCACACCATTCCCAACCAGACAAGATCACCAAGAGAGGAGACAACTATTCTGTCCCTTCAGCCTGTTCTTCCATGCGATAGATCATGGCTGATCTAATTGAGGACTCAACTCCATACTCCTTATCCTATAACCTTTAACTCCCTTGTCAATCAAAAATCAAAAACCACCTGAAATTATTATTTTAACAACTCCTCTCCACAGGTCTCTGGAGAGAATTACAACCCTCAAAAAGAATTCACCATCTTAAGTGGGTGACTTCTCATTTTAGGACTATGCTGTAATTGTAGTTTATCCCACAGAAAGGAACATTCTTCCCTAAATAATCCATTCTCCTTTCAAGAGTAGGACAATGTCCCATTAGTATTTCTAAGCACATTGCACCTGCTGACCACTCTAGATTCACATACCAGATCACCCAGATCCCTCTAATGAAAATATTCTGCAATCTCTCTATTCATCCAATCCATCATCCACTTCTACCTCCAACCCAAATCATCCCACTGACACCACAGCCACATTTAACTCCCCTTTAATTGCAATGCCATATCTCACCCCCATGACTCAGTACACTAACTCCACTCCATCAGAACCAGCACTACCCCAACAAAGGCCACCTTCCCACAGATTCCAAACCCATTGTCAAATCCCCCTTTCCTCAGATTCCCTCCCCTACCCCACATGTTGAGATGGGGTTTAGATAGAGTGTTTGAGAATCTCACTGGAAATTACTGGGAGTTCCAATGTCAGATTTGGAGATTTTGCTCCGATATGATTTTCCTTTCTTCCTCTCTTGAACTGACTTGGGGGTAGAGCCAATAACACGGTAGCAGCGATCAGAGATGTCAAGTTTCGGGGTGATAGGGCTCAGGATATTTTGATTTGAAGTTTCAGGATTCAGAATGTCATTGGATAGTGAAGGGTTTCTAGAATCAGTCCAACTGGCCACTGCAAGAGAAACATCAAGCAACCAGAACAGAAATCAACTCAAATCAAGCCTTAGTTAATCATTAAGAGCCCCTTCCACCTCCAACTCCACAAATTCCCAAACAAGATCAAACCCAATCCCAAACCTTCATCCATCAACAATCCCTAGGCTCCCTCTTCCCAAACCTGAGACACATCCCCAAAACCACAGAAGGAGCAAGTCTCAGGTTGGAAAACAAGCAAGACAAAAAAAAATTTTAATTCATTCACTAGGTCATAAAGAAGAGCTTTCTTCTTTACTTCACACAAGCACTCCAACCATAGAAATTAAAAACTCAATTACCATAGCGACACAATGTTTTCACAAGTGCAACTTTCATCTCTGCAAATTCAGCAATAGCCATAATCTCAACTCATTTATCAAATAATCTCAAAATGAGCAACTGAAACTAATTGGGAACCAACCAATCACTGTGGACCCCCAAATTGCCCAACTACCAGACTTAAAGGGCCAATCCAGATGTCTCATCCAACACTTTAATCAACCAATTTTTAGTTTACATTCAAGGCTGCTGGTGATTCAAATACCCACACACAGGTAGGATGGTTCAGATTTAAAGTCAGTTCTGATTTGATTGAATTTCCTTATTCCTCAGAAATAGGAACAATAGAAGATGACTTGGTCCCTTGAATCTTCACCCAATCTCATTAACTCTGTTCTATTCTCTTTTCATTTCTCTCTCTTCTTCTCTCCCACACTGACTCCCACTGGCTTATGAGGTCCCACATGCATTCTGACTCTCACTGGGTTACAGAACTATACACACTGACTTTACTATGGCACAAACCCACACAAAACTTCTCTCAATTATGGGTCCCACACACAGATTGATTCTCATTGGTGTATGGGGTCCCATACATGGTGACTCTCATTGGGGTACATATCCATGCATACAATGACTCTCACTGGGGTGCAGCCCCACACATACTGACTCTCATTGGGATACAATCCCACACACACCGACTCTCCGTGGGGTACAGGCCCATACACACTTACTCGTGCTATGGTATGGATCCTACAGACATTCTGACTCTCACTGGGATACATGGTCTCACACACACACACACACACACACACACAGACTCTCACTGGGGTACAGTGCCACACACACTTACTCATACTGAAGTATGGGCCCTTTAGACATTGTGACTCTCTGTCAGGTACAGTACCCCTGAAACTGACTCTCATTTGGGTATGGGGTCCCACGCACACACTGACTCCCACTGGGATACAGCCCCACACACACACACTGACTCTCACTGGGGTACGGGGTCCCACACACACACT